TTCATTCCTCAGCTGATGTCAAGTAAAACAGGTACTCTGCTGTTGTCTTCAGATAGTTTCGACAGAAGTCTAAGACCAAGCCTTGACTTGCCAGAACCAGATCTCCCTTTGATGAATATTCTTCCGTGGTCTGTCAGCAGTCTTAAAGATGACCTCTCGTAATAGGTGGACACGAATGCTGTGTCATCATAACTCATAAGTTCATTCGTTGAATCTGAAAAAAGTAGATTCGTTTTTTACCATTCTTGAAAGACTGACTGACTGAGTGAGTTTGGTTTTACGCTGCTTTTAGCAATATTCCAGCAATATCACGGCGGGGGACACCAGAAATGGGCTTCACTCGTTGTACACATGTGGGGCCATTCATGAAAGAAATGACGGTTAATTTGGTGTTTGGAGTTAAGAACACATTTTCAAACACAATTCAATTGAATGTTCAAAGGTTTGCAAACGAACTTTCCTTGAGTGTGCGTAGAAACGTTTATATGCTGATGTCATTTTTTCAGGCATGACATCACTTGATCATATCTTGTGAGGTGAGGTGAAATGGGGTTTAACGTCGTACGTATTTAAGGTTATTTCACTTATATGACGACGTGCATGTGTGTGTATGTGTGGCTGCTTGTACTAGCCCAGACTTAAGCTGGTTTAATGGTGCTAGCTCACTGAGTTACCATGCCGCAGTTTAGCATGAATACCCCACTCAGACACTTATACTGACTCCGAGCCGATCAGCCGAGTACCAGGCAGGAACCAACAAATTCCCTAATTTAACGTCTTTTGGTCTGACGCGGGGGATCGAACCCGCGACCTTCCATTCTCGGGCGGACGCTCTAACCACTACTACACCACGGAGGCGGTCGATCATATCTTGTGAATGCCAGTTTGGGATCTGAATATTTTGAGTAACACAGTACATACCACACATATTTTGGAAACGTCGATCTGAAATGAAACAGAATAGAGAACCTTAGCCACGTGAAATACAATGCAGCATCTGAGACTTTTTCAATTGGACAGTTTGTATATGAGCGATGGGATTTTTTCTATTTAAAGCTAAGCCCGTGGCTTGTTGGGTGGGACTGACTCATTAGTTTTGCAAACCCCATCTGTCATATATATATGCTGAAAGCCATTAAAAACGCAATTGGTATTTGTTGTCCTGAAACTTTAAAAGAAGTTCTATTGAAGATTTTTTCTTACAACTCCTGCGATACAGAGGATGTAGGGATAAAGACTGTTATTCTGGCCCATTTCGAGTTCGAGTCCTGGAGCATTCCTCTCACATGAACTTGGATACTTAAAACTGAACCTTTGACATTTCTTTGTAAACGCACAACCACATTCATGAAACACGTTGTGCACATGCATTACCTGCACCCAGGCCTGTAAAAGCACAAGGGATTGTGGAACTCAATCACTTTGAGAAAATACCACACTTGACACAAGACGAGGAGGAATCAGGTTATCGGTATGGTCAGCCAAAGGTGCTTCAGATGTGATGATTGCCAGGCACTTTAATGTGCATCAATCCACTGTAAGTCGACTCAGACAAAGTTTTCGGACCTACCGGAAGTGTTGCTAATCGTTCGCGACCTGGTGCACCACCTGTGATAACAGCTCGACAAAACCCCAATATCCGAATTTCAGACTTGCGAAATCGGTTCCAAACAGCTGATGATTAGGCAAGGAGCACAATTGAGACAAGTCAATGTCATTTCAGCGCCCAAAAGGTGCAAGGACGCCTTGCTGCCTTCAACATCCGGTGTCGTCACCCGTACCGTGGTCCCACCTTATTGCATCGCCACAGACTTGCCAGACAGCGATGGGCAGCAAATGGGGCCAATCTTGGCAACAGGACATAGCCAGATGTCATTTTTCAGATGAATCAGGTTTAACTTTTCCTTTGCAGATGGACGTCAACAGATTTATCGACGTAAAGGAGAAAGACTTGCGCCAAACTGTGTCCTTGAACATGATCATTTTGGAGGGGGGTGGTGTCATGATCAGACCACACACCATCAGAGGCTGCAGACCATCCAACAGCTGTTCCTGAGAAATGTGTGTCTTTCAGTGCCCCAAAGACTGCGAGCATGTCTTGCAGCGCACGGTGGACATACACGATATTGACTGCAAGTGACCCCTCCTTTGTGTGATGTCCTTGTTGCGTCACTGATGTTGTTGTTGACTGGACATTTTCAGACAAAATTATTCACAGATGTTCACTTAAAACATATCTGCCAGTTAGGTTTATATATGTTGAAATTAGTGTGAGTAAAAAAAAGTATGAATGTCAAATTGCATTTTAAATGGCTTTCAAATCAAATCTTTATTTCTGATACTATGAGGCCACGGGCCTATGAGTACAAAAACACCTCATCGGTGCAGACATGAAATAAAATGATAACAATGAAAGCATGTATAATATATACAATCTTAATATGACAAAATTGATTTCCTTTTTTCGAATGCATAAAACAGATATTTAGCAGTATTCAAGGAAATGTCTTCATTTTTGGATGATAACAACGAATTGAATTTTAGTATATTGGGGAAAACATAGAATTGCGACAAAAGATATTTACGTCTTAATTCAATGTAGGCTGGACAGATAAGTAAGAAGTGATATTCATTTTCAATTGTGTTTAAGTTACAAATTTTGCATGTTCTTTGTTCCCGGGGAATGTTATAGTAACGGCCTCTTTCAATTTCTAAACTATGGGAACTTAACCTAAATCGCGATAAACAAGATCTATATTTGGATACAGTAATATGAGTTAAGTATGTTTCACAAGAAATCGTTAATTTAAAATTACAATACGTAAACATTTTGGGGCTCTCAGATAAATCACTATGACAAACTTGCCGAAAATTATCTTTCAGTCGTTGAAAAAACATTTTAACCAAAACGTTTTTATCTCCGTAAGTGTGTGATACCCAAACATCACCAAAACCTAATTTAAATATGATATTTCTAACCTTGGTAACCCAGTTCTCATAGCCTTACTCATCATACATACGCATCATATTGTAACATTTTCGAGGCAAACGGCATCCAGGCATGTTAATAAGATTTAACCAATATTTGATACATTTTAAAACAGCAGATAGTTGGACAGGATATCTACCACACTCGGCTAATACTCCATTATTGGACGTTGATAACTTAACGTTTAGAAAACGTTTGCAGGCATATAAAGGAACTTTTTCCAGTTCTTCCATATAATTAAGCCCCCAAATTTCAGCCCCATAGAGGAGAATTGGTGGTATCTTTGTATCGAATAATTTGAAGTACAGATGAGGCGAGTGTGGTTTCAAACAATGTATACTACTAAGAAGTAATGACAGCATTTTTCTGGATTGAATAGAAATATTGTCAAACGCTTTCGACCACTGTAACCTATTATTAAAATACAATCCGAGATAACAATATCCTGAAACAACTTCAACAACACTACCATTATAAAAACCATTTTTCAAACCGAGATAAACCACCTCCTTTCTTAAAGAAACTACAATTTTAGTTTTATGCATGTTGACTGACAATTTCCATTCTGAACAGTATGTACCTATTAAGAATATTTAGTTTAAACTTCTCACGCTGTTCCCAAACAAAATAAGGTCATCCGCAAATAAAGAAAGAAAAATATGAGTAACATCTGGATGCAGCTGGACACCAAACCAACATTCACTTTCAATTACATTACCTAATTCATTTATATAAAACTGAAACAAAAGGGGCTGAGAATACACCTTGTCTGACTCCCATTGGGCAATCAAATACACGAGATAAACTACTATTTGTGCGAACACAAGATTTTACACTATTATAAATAGACACTAACATTTTACCCATTTTACGACTCAGACCGTGTTTATATAATAACTTCCAAAGAAAATGTCTTTTGAACAGAATCGAAAGCTTTCGAGAAATCAACAAAAGCTACATAGATTTTTACCACCTTTGCGGGAAAGATAACGCTCGATAATAGAATTCAGAACAAAACCACTGAATAACCTTTTTCGAAACCTGATTGACACTCAGAAATTTTACTCAACACATCAGCCAAGCACACTAATCGCTGATTCAGGATGTACGTGAAGACTTTGCTTAGGATACTCAGGAGGCTTATTGCTCTGTAGTTGTTGGGGACAGAAGTGTCACCTTTCTTATGAAAAGGAATTAATAATGGCTTTCAATATATACAGTGAGTGTAGATCGGGTATTTTCAGTGGCATGTCAAATGTCAAAGTCCATGTCAAAGGGTCATCACTTCGATCTTACTAAGTATCGCTCTTCCAGAATCCAGGAGAATCTCATTAACATTTGCAGGTAGAAGGTGCATTGATATGTCTCTCGTACAGTATTGTGTCATCATGGTAAAAAAATTTATATCGCATTGGTACCGAAATGTTATTCCACTCAAGTGAAATATCGATTTGTTTTCTTTCACACATTTTCACAGATTAGACAACTCCATTTATTCTCTACCATTAATAACAAAGTGATGATAATAAATCAATTACAGCCATGTTGATGACATAACGTTATACTCACAGTAAGAATGACATCACGTAATATTATCTGTATGTGTGATATCACAGTATGTTCTCTGTAAGTATGACTCTAATAATACTCCTTGTATGTATTGCGTTATATATACTATCGGTGTGGAATAATGCTCTCTGTAAGTATGACTCTTATAATACTCCTTGTATGTATGGCGTTATATATACTATCGGTGTGGAATAATGCTCTCTGTAAGTATGACGTTAAATAATACTCCTTGTGTGTATGGCGTTGTATAATAGTATCTGTAAGCTAGTATGCCGTCAAATCTGGCTCTGTGTAAAGTATGATGTCAAATAATACTCATTGTATGTGTGACGTAACACTATCTGTACGTATGACGTCATATAATAATACTCTCTGTAAGTATGGCGTCATATAACCCTCCCTGTAAGTGTGTTGTGTATCAGACTATCGTCGCGTCTACTACCTGTGCATTGTAGAATCTCCATCTTCTGTCTTCCTACTTCTTGTTGCAAATCTGTGAAACAAATGTTTTTAGTAAATTCTTTGTCAGCATTACATCAGAGAAAGAGTGAGTTGATCTTAATACACTATTCGGAAATTCGCTTCATAAACAAATGATACATTTCAACTCATTTAGATATCTACATCGTTTTAAAATAATTATGTTTATTCACAGAAAAAAATGAATCTGATTATTTTTCCTTTCACTACTCCATTGCACTATTTAGGGTGTGCTATCGACATAGATCTTGGAGATCGATAATCTTTTACAAAATATCGATCAATTGTCCATAAATTGGCGTAACTTTGAGCAAAACTGCAAAAATGTCAGAAAGAATAAATAGTCTCACTGGTGACTTGTGACATGTTTTTGCATGGATTACTAACAAAATAGCGTCGATAACACAATTTTCATATCGATAATCCTAATAGTTTTCCTATTGAGGATATTTCAGATTATTGATCATTTTAGCCGACCCTAGTACTATTGACCGATAAGATCATATAATACTCCTTTTCATCAGCTGTATGGCTGAATTACGACGAACCATAACATGTAACAAATGTCAAAGATAAACTCTCTTTTAAAAAGTATAGAAATTCATTTTTTAATTTACGATTGAAACAATTGGGAGATATATCGGAATCAATTAGTGTTGATATGATAATAGTGAATGCAACATGAACAGCATCTGGAGTTATAGCCCTTAAATTATACTCAGCACTCGGGAATACCCAGAAAGAATTTTGACCGCCAAATCTAAAATAAGGTTATACAACATCGTATGGTATGGATTTACAACTTCTTATTCTTTTTTATTTACAACACGACGTTTCCGGGCTACTTCTTGCCCCTTCATCAGGTGATGATACAGAAACACAAATACATATATACTCTCAATACACTAGTTTGAGTGGCGCTCAGAAACGACAGGATAATCTGCCGGCTTGAACGTGTGTGGCAATAACAGATTTTACATATTTCATGTGTTGTTACATGTTAACATCACTTCTTGGTAGCTAACACTCTCATTAAAATTACATCCTAGTTTTTCGTTACTGCAAAGATAGATGGGAGGACATCTAATTAGCGGGCTAAGTCATGATGACCTTATTCGACCTGAGATCTTTTCCTCATTCGTGACTCACTCCTGTTATTCAGGAAAAGCCGAAGAACGCGGAAAGGGGCGAATGGTGACGAGGACAAGTAATGATCATTCATGACCCATTCGTGACCAACTCGTGTTATTCCGGGACAAGCCGAATAACAAGGTTACGGAAAGGGGCGACTGGTGGTGTCGAATGAAAAATGATAACATTGAATCCTCCCTTACCTGAAACATGTGATTTTACAACTGCTCTTGTCAATGTTTACACGAAAATAAAAGGTCAAAGCGGCTCTTTATAACAAAAAGTCGTTTCGTCTCCTCCATGAACACATTCAGTATAAACAGAAGACAAACTGGCTCTGGAAGATACCAGGAAATCCATGAGAGGCATAACTGACGGACGTGTATGGGTCTTGTTGAGATAACAATGTTTGACCTTTAAAAGTCATACAGACATAACGGGTTATATGCTGAAGCGCACAGAAGCTGCACCCAGAAACGGTTTTGCTTGTCCAGATAATCATGTATTTGAATGACTAATATGAACAGACAATGAAATATGATTTACCTGCTGGAAGACGAGGAAGGGTGGCAATGCGGAAACGAGAGCAATTTTCCCGGAAGAGAAAAGTTTCCTACCCGCTTACCTCCCTTATCTCCCGACCACCCTGGTAGATTTTTAAGTCTGCCACATCGTTTGACAGAGGTGCTGCTTGTGAACAGGTACAAACCAAATGGTGAGAAATATATATATGGTATGTTTTGACAAACAGCTGATTCTCACCATTTTTACGGTTTAGTAGTCACACAGCTTGATAACGGTGTAAGAATCACATCGAAACGTCGCTCTATGCAATAAACTTGCAATCTATAAAGTTGTGTTTCCTTTCTGACACTAACCACCTTTGGGACGACCCCCGACTCGAAATGTTTCACAGTACAATTGTGGCTTGTGGCTCGAAGCCCAGCCGTGATACAGATAATTTTCTGTGCATGCATGCATGCTTGCGTGCCGATCCACAAAATGTTCTGGACCGCCTCCGTGGTGTAGTGGTTAGAGCGTCCGCCCGGAGGCGGAAGGTCGCGGAGTTCGATCCCCGTCCGCGTCATACCAAAATACGTTAAAATATGGTACTTGTTGGTCCCTACCTGGCACTCGGCATTCATGGGTACAACAAGGACTGAGTCGGCTCGAGTCAGTATAATGTGTCTGAGTGGGGTATTCATGCTTCACTGCGGCATGGGTATCTCAGTGGGCTAGCACTATAAAACCAGCTTACGTCTGGGCTGGTACAAGCAGCCGCACATACACACGCATGCACGTCGTCATATGAGCGAAATATTCTCCAGCACGACGTTAAACCCAATTTCACCTCACCTCACCTCACAAAATGTTCTCTTACGTCCAGCATAAGTTGTTTTCAGCAATTGCTAACCAATATCCCACTAAGATTCCAGATTGTGTTACCTCTTGCGACTAGCTATTAGAACACTTGACACCTATACCCTGAATGATGAACTTGAAACTGGAATATTGCTGACTGCGGCGGTAAACAATATTCACTCAACCAGTTAATTCTCTGGATGAGAAAACACAACAACCTTTATATGCAGACAACTTTTAATATTCATGTATGCATATTTGATTTTAGATTTTTACGATCCGTGGGCGGATGAATTATTTATTATGAATTCAAATTTTGACTGATAAAATGCTGATAAAACTGCGGCTATAAATAACATTCACTCAACCAATTAATTCTCTGGATACAGGTAAAACACAACTACCATTATATGTAGACCACTTTTAACATTAATATATGTGCATTTTATGATCCGTGGTCGGATGAGCCATAAGTAATAAATTCAACATTTGACGTATGAAAAATAGAAAATGGCTGCATGTAAGGGCCTTCTTTTATCTTTAAAACTCTGAAGGAATATTAGTTATGCAACGTTTTTAAATCGTGAGATAGCAGTATGTCTCATCATTCGTCTCCACTCGCCCTTTCCGTACACTCGGTATTCGGCTTGTCCCGGAATAACACGAGTGGGTCTTCAATCTTCGTTCTTCGCACACTGTAGAGATATCTGGCCTGTATGTATATGTTTGTTTTGTTTGTTGTTTACGTGTACCGGATATGGCCAAAGGTATAACACCTTTATTGCAACCCAGTTGTGAAATTACAAAATGTTTAAATGTCAAGGTCAAATTTCACTAGAGCTTAAAACAGCTTTGCATGCACATAACCTTTAATGTGAAAATCATACTTACTGTCTTACAAATTATATAATCACTGCTTCTATGTTATGTTTCCACTGTATTTGTAGAGTATCTCTGTTTGGTAATGCCACTCATGTGTGGTAGCCCTGTGGAGCGTTCGCTCGTCATGCTGAAGACCAGGGTTCGATCCCTTAATGGGTACAATGTTTGAAGCCCATTTCTGCTTTCGCCCGCCGTGATATTGCTAGAATATTGCTAAAAGCGGCCTAAAACTAAACTCACTCATTCAATCACTCCTTTGTAGCGATTTGTAAGTTTCGTTAATGTTTTTCTTATAGGGCCTATAAGTCTCGCGAGCTTCTTCTTCCCATACTAAGCTGGTTCCGGCTTCCTTTGCGCGCGCCAACTTGCGATTTGCGAGACGAGGTCCAGCTTATTTCCGGTACCAGATTTCCGGTGACAAGTGTATATTCAAGAACCAGTTCTGGCTCCAAATAGGAGTGAGTGAGTGAGTGAGTTCAGTTTTACGCCGCACTCAGCAATATTCCAGCTATATGGCGGCGGTCTGTAAATAATCGAGTCTGGACCAGACAATCCAGTAATCAACAGCATGAGCATCGATCTGCGCAATGACATGTGTCAACCAAGTCAGCGAGCCTGACCACCCAATCCCCGTTTGTCGCCTCTTACAAGCATAGTCGCTTTTTGTGGCAAACATGGGTTGCTGAAGACCTATTCTACCCCGAATCTTCACGGGTCTCCAAATAGGACTTTACTACACCTGGCCAAGTGTACGTTGTTTGTACTACAAGTACTAAGGTCTCGCCAAGTGTCGTCTCCTACTTACGGGCCCTATATCACTTTATCTTTGTTTGCAGATTTCACGCCAACATTTTTTATGTACATCCCTATAACTTCCGGTGAACACGTGGCGTCCGAGGGGTTGTATGGCGCCAACATAAACATTATAGACCAGACAAAGACTGAGTACACCATCCTCCCTGATCATATGTTTTACGAATTCATCCATGAAGTTGATGTTGATCAAGATAATCCACAGTCTTTGCTGGCTCATGAGGTTGGAACATTTTTTGTTTCTTTTGAATCACTTTGCCGAAATATTTATGAACTGTTCAGCTTGTGTGAGAACACGTTACCATGTCCAGGTTTCGGTTGCACAGCGCGATTTTAGCGATTCACTGTAAGTTGCCCTATCTGCTGCAGTTGTATTGTAAGTGCTTGTTATGGAATAGCAGTTGTAATAGTCTTTGTGCTGCAAGTATTGTAAATACGCTGAGGCGTTACTGTTCTGTAAGAGCAGTTACGTGGTGGTTCACAGTAGAAAATTTAAGTTTCAGTCAGTCCTAGAACTGAGTATGAACCAACAAACAACAAAGAAATGTTATATAATTAACAAATTGTATTCTAAAATCAAAGCGCCTTTGAGCAGCTGGGCTGGATGTTGGCGCTATACAAATGTTAGTATAATTTAATAATCCAAATATAATAATGAAATGAACTACGTTTACAAATCACTATAAAGGAATTGCAATGGCACTACAAAATATGATGGGAGTATAAATTCAAAGTCAGAATGAAAGTATCATCAAAATGCCACCCTTGAAATGACACCAAATTCGAACGTTGTCAGCTTCTTCCAAAGAGTGTACCCGCGGCCGTCTGGGCAAGAGCTTTGAGTTCTGGGTCCTTGTAACTTACACACCTTTTCCTTTCTCAACAGACAAAGAGTGAGAATGTTTATTACCCTCCCTTGAAAATTTAGACAGGTCGAAAGTAACTGGTATCATTCTGAGAGGAAATTAGCCTCGCCTAAGCACGAGAGTACAACACTGGAAGGAAACATACCTGGAAGTTCCTTTTCAAGATTTTCAGTACTTTCTGGAAGCTCATTAACAAACAACAGGATCAATGAAACATTTTCCCTCTGCCAGATCTTTCACAATTAGCAAGTCTACACCTTCAAGAGAGGGGTCAACAGCTCCAACTTGAGGAACAAATTTTCAACCTTCACTATTGTTCGTATAGACCATCAGAGCTGTTGGCCTCGCCTGGGGACCTAACTGTCTGTGGGGGCCTCGTGTTGGAGGCTCATGATTTAAGGGTTGTGCTCTGGGGATATTGCTATTTCATAATCGAGGATGAATTCCTTTTGTTTCTGTCTGTTGAGTTGGGTTTGTGTATAAGTGCGGTACCATATCTAAAGAAAGACATGCACATTGTGTGAGTGGCGCGTCAGGTGCTTCTCGTCAAGCTTATCCTTATAGCGAAAACGTGATGTCCACTAAGATTTTCAGAACTCAATTCCTATAACTTTCATCACTGTTTTACAAAGTGTTTCATCAGGCAATCGAGACTGACTATTTCTTCGCAACTGTGTCCTCCAGGTGGACATTGGGCAGAGTTATGAGATGGTCATCACCAACTGGTCAGGTCTGTACAGGTATCGGACAGGAGATATCATCCGTGTTACCAGCTTCACTGGTCAGGCGCCAAGCTGTGTTCTACAACAACGGTGAGTATAATGGACAATGATGTTGTGGAACTCTGTTATGTCTTCACATGTGAATCATCAGAGGTTGTTGTGAACTGTTGACGATTGTAGACAGTGAAACCTTGTTATACCGGACAGTTGCTTTCTCAGCGGAACTGCTCAGATTACCACATTTTCTAGTTCACGAATCACGAATAACGTTGTCCTGGCAGATTTAATTGTGATATCAAATTCCTCATCGGTGTTTTTTGTTCATGTCGGTGTGTGTTTTGGTATGGGTGTGGTGGTGGGAAGAAGGGGTGCAATGCTGCTTCTGTCCTTGTCAGATGTTACATTTCACCTGTGACCTCACTGTTGCATCCTGCAGGAAAGGAGATGGGTACGGCATGTATCCAGAGTTCCTGTTCACTGAGGCTGTTTCGAAAGCTTCCGGAACGTGGACGTCTGGGACGATGTTCAACTACATGGCTGTCGGCAACTTCATCGTTGAGGAACTGACAGGTGAGTGGAAACATAGGATAAACAGGGAACCCAAGTCAAATTCTGATTACAATAGAGTAGCAGGTTGCACGGGTTTTGATATATATTTATTTATATATATATATCTTTTGTTCTTTCGGGTCTGTTTAATCTATCCTATTTACGTCCACACAGATGACTAAAAGGGGCAAAACGACGATGTTTCCAACATCACAAACAAACTGAAATAATTTATTCCCCATATCTTTGGACAGCTTTCATTCTGCGTTTTTCCTAATAAAATCAGCGTTGCTCAAATATTTGCCATATGCATATTCAATCTTCACATATTACTCTGTGAACACCTACAAAATCTGCTTTTTCAGACTTGGGTAATACTA